AGCTGTTTTGTCCTAATCTGAGACTCTTCATCAGTACATACTCAACGGTGTTCAAACCCAGGACCTTCTGGTTATAAGGGGCCTAGCGCATAGATCACTAAGCCACTGGGACCCGATCCAGTGGCCAGCCCACGGATTCCAGCTTCGGCCAATTTATGACATAGCGCGACCACTGAGCAATGTCTACGGCGAGTATTTTTCCTCATTCCTGACCTGCTTTACCCTACTGGTGACAGCTTCCCACTAGAATCCATTAGATCTGATGTTTACCAGCGACTGGCCGTATTCAGGGAGTTACCTGGGGTTCTAGTGGGAAGCCGTGACCAGTAGGGTACAGCAGGTTGAAGTTGAGGTAGTAACTCATCGAAGAAGACATTACGAAGTGGTCGTGCTATGTCATGAATTGGTGGAAGTTAGAATTCATGGGCTGGCCATTGGATCGGGTCCCAGTGGCTTAGTGGTCTACGAGCTCCCCTTATAACCAGAAGGTCCTGGGTTTGAACACCGTTGAGTATGTACTGATGAAGAGTCTCAGATTAGGACAAAACAGCTGTCCAGCACTCCCAGTTTTTCCAGTGGTTCTCTAACCGAGATTAGCTCATGATGAAATCCTCCAACCAATCAAACAAAATCCCTAGAAACTATTACTTGAAAACAAGTGATTTTATCCGAAGTAGTGCAGTTACTTAGGAAAAGATTCAAATTCTTAAAAATGCACAATAACAATTTATCTCTAACTTACGATAACAACGCTTCACTCTGTCGTCTGAATCATTTGTTTATACTACAAATATATGCATTAAAAAGTATCTTAACTTTCACCTACTTCACTGGAACGTGCCACGAAAAAAAACTATTGGTAAACATCTAACAAATGTTAAAAATTTATTTGTGGTCAAATTTCAAATTATGTAAAAAATAATGTACATATATTTTCCTGGAATAGGATATCTTTCTGTTTATTTATTGTAAAAATGCTACCAAAGTAAATGTTCATAATAGTTCTAATCAGTGGTTAGGTTTCATTATGGAATCTTTCAAAGTCTGAAATGTTAAAACGACACATTGTGATCTGTGCAACCCAATTAATAGCTTCAACTATAAAGGGAGTAGGATAAATGTAGCATTTATTCTAGTGACTGATCGGAGCAGTCAATTTCATTCACATCATTCCGTGGCACTTGCTATATGGTATAAATAGCTTAGATGCGATTGCGCTTTCTGAGGTGAACCGGATGCTTTGTTGCATGTCTTGGTCATAAAGTAGCCGTTATTATTGGACATTCAGGGAGTAAAATAATAATAATAATTTGCTTTATTCCAAAACAGTACTTGTGATACAGAATGGAATTCTCAGCATTTTTACTACAGTATTGCATCCAGTTAGTACATTATCAATAAATAGAATTCTACATAGATTGAGGAAACCACAGTTCATTATTACAACAATACATTGGCATGTCAGTAGCAAAGGTAAAGCTGAAACAGTGTTTGAAGGTGTTAGAAAAGTGGGAGCTGTCTTATTAACTGGCGTAAGCGAGAGAAAGAGACAAAGCAGCACATAACGGAAAAAGAAGAGAGAGAAAAGGAAAAGAAAGAAAGAAAATGTTGTACATATTGATGATGTGGGTTGGAAAGACGAGATCCAGTTGTACTACTGACTATTTAATGAATTATAGGTGTCACGCCTAATGCTTTCTTTATCACACAGAACACGAGCTAAGTAGGGTATGGTTGAGTTTTTGTACTTGCTGGTGCGAGCATATAGTTTTCTATATAGGCTTCTGGTTTTACCTGATGAGATGCAGGGGGAGAGTTGTGAGTGAAGAGGGTGGTGTGAGTTAGATAAAATGGATTTGGCCCATTTTTCACATGAGTCCATGTGCCTGTCAACCAGAGTATTAGCAAGCTGGTTAAGTGGCACATTGCTTACTCTGCTAACAACATTTAACATCCTGCGTAAAATGTTATAGTCTTTCTTCAGTAGCCCAGGAAAAACTAAGGGGGAACAATAGAGAATAATAGGCAGGATGCGAGAATTAACGAATTGTAGGAGTAAGGGTTGGGTAATACCAGAATGTTTTAACTTCTTGATGTAGAAGGTAAGACGGAATATTTTCTTAGAAATTGCTAAGATATGAGACGACCAGGAGAGATCAGCAGATAGAATGACACCTAGGTATTTAATTTCCGATTTAGTTTCTATTTCAGTGCCGTCTATGTTGCATACCTCGTGAGAGCCAACCAGTTTGTTTAGGTCGGATTTATGCCTAAAGGTGAAATTGACTGTTTGGCATTTGGAGGGGTTTAGGGTAAGACCATTTTCCTTGGACCACTGGCTGATTTCTGACAGAAAGCCATTAAGTTTAGAGCAGTCGCTTTGACATTTGACAGGCAAAGATACAGACAGATCGTCAGCGTATTTGACAAAATTAATGTCATTTGAAGATGGTAAGTCATGTAGAAAGAAAGAAAGGAGAAGTGGGGAGAGTACAGCGCCTTGGGGGACTCCGGCTTCAGTGAGTACAGCAGAGGATGATTTACCTTTGTACACGGTGTACTGCATTCTGTTTGAGAAGTAGGAATGCAACCAGTTAGTGACCCAAGACTCAGTTTTCGTCAAAGAGAGCTTATTTAGCAGGAGACATCTAGGAACAGAGTCGAAAGCAGAAGTGAAGTCAAGAAACGTGCAGCGGACGTACTTGGCACCTTTATCTAATGATGAGACGATGTTGTTGTGTAAGACGGCTGCAGCGTCTAAAGTGCTCCTACCCTGTCTATAGGCAAATTGTTTGGGGTCTTCAAAGCTTTTAAGGGAGGGTTCGAGTTTAAGAAGTATTAGTTTTTCCATAAGCTTTAGAAACGGGGAAGTGATGGCAATGGGTCTGAACTTTACGTTCTTGCCGTTTCCAGGTTTAGGGACAGGGACAATTTTGATGTCTTTCCATGCATCAGGTACGATATTTTTAGAGAAAGAAGCATTTAGGATGTTGGTTAGTGGAGAACACAACACATCTGCACATTGTTTTAGAACATAGGCAGGTATACCATCAGGACCAAGGCTACGTGAGGGCTTGAGTGTTTTAAGACATTTTAGAACATCGAGAGTATTAAAGTCATGAAAGTTTTCAGCTACATGATAGGTAACATTAGAAGTAGTTAAAGTAGAAGGACAGCGTATAAAAGACTGATTAAGAGCATTAACATCATAAGAGGGAAAAGTATTACAACGCTTACTATTACCAGTAATTTCATTGAAAAGTTTCCACATACTGATTGGAGATTTACATGATAAAAGTGTATCATTATAGATAGCATTAAGATTTTTGATTTCAGATTTGATCTGAGCATTAATCTTTTTGAGTCCTAACTTGTCTTTGGATTTGTATAAAGTTTCTTTTTTCCTGCGAAGTTGTTTGAGATAAGGAGATGAGAAGCGGTCGAGGCGTTTGAATAGAGTTTGTTTGGGACAGCATATATCAAGGCAAAACTTAAGGTAATCCGTTATATTGACAATTGTGTCATCTAATGAACTTTCATGGAATAAGTCCCAGTTAGTATTTTGTAACATGCTCCTTAGATTGAGTAAGTTTTCGGATGAGTAGCATCTTTGTTGTGCTTTCATAGACAGATGCGAGAAGACTTTAATATGTGTTTTGCTGTAAATTTTTGGTAGAACACGAACAATAGAGTGATCAGAGTTGAGGATCGGTGCACGTTTACGTGCTTCATAGATTCCTTGGTCATTTGTGAAAACTAAATCAAGTGTTTTGTCTAGTCGAGTGGGAAATTTGACAATGTTAGAGTGACCAAGTGCTTCAAGGAAGGAGCAATCTGACGAGTTGAAGTCCCCAGTAATAACAGATAGAGAGTTATCGAAGTTGGCAGCAGCAAACATGGTGAATTCATCAGCAAAATTTGAAAGATTAGATAGTGAGCAACTTGGAGATATGTACATGTTTGTGATAAAGATGTGTTTATATTTGGGGAGATGTTTGGGACGACATTTGACGGTGATGCAGTCTATGAAGTCATTTGAGAATGAGAAGCAAACATTATTAGAAATAGACCATTTTGAGTTAATGAAAGTTGCTACTCCACCCCCATTTATCTTATTACAACATTTTCGGTCTTGTCTAAATAGGATGAAGTCCTTTAGAGAGATGAGATTGTCATCGTACAGTTCGTGTAACCATGTTTCTTGTAATGTAAATAAGCAGTTTTAATAAATAAAATTCTTTATATATCCTAAGTGCAAGTAATTTAACAGGGGTGGTTTACATACAGCATTACGGGTGTTTTTCAATCGTCTCACTTATCAAACTATCAGAAAGAAACAGATTTTCTAAACAATATCTGAATCCCAGAATAATTTGTTAAAATATTTCTTGATATATCATATTTGCTTGTAATGTCATGTTGTGTTTATTTAACACGTCGGACTGGTATCGGTCACACTAGGTTGACCTGAATGGTGAAATATTGTCGCTCTAAGTGTCAGTACCAGAATCCACTGAGCTATATGCAGATTCAGTTGATGAATCTGAAATGGTGGGGGGGGGGAAATGAGCATTCCGAATTTCATTACTAACCGGTACGAAAGAAATAACAAATAATTTTTTGAATAAATTGTGTTAGAATGGCTCTACATAGGCATTTTATCACCTAACCGAGAAAATAATGTATAGAAAGGGATTGAGCACTGTTCACCTAATAGACGTGTTGTGTACAGATAATTAGATATCTACTATCATATTTCTTTAGTTTAGAAAAAGTACCAGTTGTTCAGGCGTAAGTGAAATCTTCGCTTATCCAAGATGCATAGGCTTGAGTTACTGACTGCTGTGATAAAAACAACCATGTTAAAAGGGTAACACTTAGAAGTAACACTCATATCTGATTTCTATTGCCGATCACAAGTGAGTGGTATTTACAAGATACAGTTTTACTCAACACTTGATGCCTGATTCTAAATAACACAACTTACTTTGATTTTTCAGTCTGCTGGATATGTCAGTAGAAATTCAGAGTTCCAGACATCTACTTAGTCAACCTTTGTGGATTAAAGATCCCGATTATTTTGACTTGCAAAGTTTGCAAAGACTGGACTATCACTGGCATCCAGGGACATCAAGAAAAACAGAGCCTGAGGGAATTCGAGCACGAAGTTATAAACCGAAGGTAAAATAACAACAAGAACAATCTTGGTATTTCATTGTTTATCTCTAAATTCAGTGTTATTTTTTATCTTATTCACATTCATCATTGATGTTTCATCAATAACGCTAACTTCACTAACAGGTGTAGTATGTTAACAAGTTCTATGAGTACTGAGTTATTGTTTCTCTATTCTTCAAATTCTATCAAGTTTCAAGTGAACAGAAAGACATGTCACCCTTACCTCTTTAACTTTTAGGTTAAAATGGTTTAAAATGTCTATTTTCTCACCCCCTCACTGTTTGTTATATATATGCTGAGATTTTGTAAATTCCGGTTTAATAATACTTTGATAAAGCTATTAGCATTAAATAGCGAAACGTCAGTAAAAACAATATCGTTTTGTTTTTCATTCATTGGGAAATACAAAAACCTTTATTATAAAATGGTTGCATTTACAAAAGTTGTTGATATTTTTCGTGTCAGTATTGAGATTATTAACTGTCTTGATGATCCTTGAACTACTTGAAGCGGGTAGATGACAGTTCGGTTTATATCTGCTCGTCAAGTGATTACGATTTCGTCCAAATTTCATGCTTCTAGAAATTATCATACTCATTTTAAGTTTATATAATTCAAAACTCGGATAGTTTTCAATTAGTGTTTTTATTGCCATTATCTGTGTGCACTGAGACCAAAGATAAGGTTTTACGTTAGTCAGCCACTCGTTGATGTTTATAACTCCTTTGATCCCAGTAATTTAGGGAATGAAACTTCTACAGAGAGATATCAGAGTTCAGAAAACATCACACACTGTCCGCTCTTATCTTAAACAGCTAATTACTCTTACATTTTAAACCATTCCACTCAGTCAAAATCTTAATTACTTCAGTTGAAATGTGGATTGTTTCAACAATAGGACATTATTTCACTTACAGATACTTCTAATTTCCCCTTTTCATGTATCATTATGTGATGTTTGTCTCAGTTACTGAGGCATTTTGATCATATCTACCCAACTGCCTTTTTTAAACCAGTTTAACAGTTCACTTGCATCCCAGGAAAGTTGGACGTAGGCGTTGCTCCGGTATACCTATAATTTTCTCTCAGTAATATTAACATGAATGTGAAGTCAGTAGACACGCAGTGCGGTGTTTCTTAGGTGTAGTCAGTTGATGAGTTAAACATTAGTTCACGTCAAGCTGTTTCTTTTGTGATACACAAAGGAGCAGCTTTCGACTCACACTTCACTGTTGGAAGAGAGGGATAGGAAACTTTGCTAGTATTTACGGAAACTTAGTACTCTCAACTTGGTCTGTACTTTCATTTTTATCTAACAGGATTCATCACGATAGTCGAATCACTTGCAAATTTATTTTTCACAAAATATATGGTCGTTATGAACAATTAACACTTAAAGTGTGTGACTTGGAGATATGAGGTTTCGCTTGCAACTTCAACGACTGTTTTGTGTTCTATTCAAATTCTAAATCTGTAATTATTGGTTGATTACCTGATACTTGTTATCCCAATTAAGATTTTCTGTCATACTTCACGCATCGGTTCTACGATAGTGACAAACGTTTGACATCCTAATTGGTTTCTTTTATTGTAGACAGGTTTGCATATTTTCTTTCATCAATCTGTTTTACAAAGGTTTCTGCATACAGAAGTACGCTTAACTGGGATTTGGGTGAAAAGTCGAAATCTGTTTCCTCTGTAAACGCAAGACAGAAAACAGATGTACTTGAAAATTTCAGTGGTTCACTGACAAATCTGCTTAATCAACAACCAAGAGATTGGCTTATTGATGATTATGATTCAAGGCATAAACAATGGAGGAGGACAGATGAAATTGTAAGAAGTAAGGAACCATTCACAAAGATGTCTTTATATCGGGAACAATTTTCTCCAAAAGAGGCCGGTAAGTTATAAATGGAATGTACACAATTGATATTCTTATTATTATCCAGATGTTTATGCAGTGATATTATATCATGATCTACGTCGTAAGGTATCTTAAACTCACTGGTTCACTGCTAATATGTCTTCTCATGACATGTGAAATATTTATATGCATGAGTCGTAATGTTCGCATCGCTAAATCTGACTGTCTGAAATACCATCGTACACTAGGGCATGAATTTGCACTTCTAAATAGCTCGCGATTGGTTTCCACTTCGTAATAATGGACAGCTGTGTTTCATAACTTGTTAGAAAAGCAGCTTTTAATATCAGTAATCAAACATTAACATAGACGATGACCAGAAGTATAATTTAAGTTGTTTAGGCAGTTAAACAAGAACATGACATTATCATAAGAACAAAGGGATATAGGAATTTTAATGAGTGTCATTCTGGAATGTCATTTCCTAAATTCTCTTTATTTAGTATTCACAAGATTGATTACTGAAGAAAGAATATTCGTTCCGATTAGTTCTTCATCAGGCTCTACAGTTATATATCCATAATAATTAGAGAATTATTGCGATTATTATTTTTAAAAACAAAATCGAATTACTGATATTGAAATTTCAGGAGTTATATGAGCGGAGATCATTAGCAGATCATAGTTCAAAACATGCGTATATGATAATATACATGAATGTAATACTAAACTGAACATCAGTTTTCCAAAGTAAATAGTTATGAATAAAAACGAATATATTGTGATGAGTGCTGGTGACAAATGTTCATAGTGAATGATATTCATACTGATTATAAACTTCATATGAATGATAGATAAGCTCAATTCAGTGACGTCCATCCAGCTATCAAATTCACATATGAAGAAGAGTCCCAAAGGAGAATTGCCTTCTTAGATGTCCTTCTCACAAGAAAACCAGATGGCAATTTAGAAATAAATTTGCATAAGGAAAGTACATGGACAGGACGATATACACATTTTCACAGCTGTATTCCTTTCCAGTACAGAAGAAGAAGATGTAACGGGAGATGAACTTAAGATTGTATATGACACCTTAATTGAAAATAACTATCCATAAGAGTTCATCATGAAACAAATGGCCAAAAAAGTCTAAAAGAACTGTTCTGTATCTGTAGATAAGAAGGCTTAATATATGCGACTGCAATTCGAAGGTGACGTAGCAAGCTAAGAAAATCTATTGAAGAAACATTTGGTGCTGTTAAACTATAGGTCATATTTTCTACACGACTGGTCGTGATGATTGCTCAACTGAAAGATGAGGTACTCAAGCTAGATACCTCCTCTTGTACCTTTGAAGACCAACGCTCCTGTGAGCCAGTTATATAGGCCATTGCGCATATTATCATGTAAACATGTATTGAACTGTAATCTGTTAACAATCTATTCACGTATACTTCTTGAAATTATGATCTTGATGATTCCATGTGACTTAAAAACACCAATTTTGTCAATATAAATTATTATCTAACTATTATGGACATATAGCTGTATATCCGGGTGAAGAACTTAGTGAAAGGAGTGTTCTTTGTTAAGTATTCAGTCTTCTGAAATTTAAAATGAGTATCTTTAGTCACAGAAGAGGTAGCTAGTGAGAGGTAATTACAAGTATCGAACACTTCGATATATCCCACTCGAAACAACAATGAAGAAAGAAAATACTAGCAAATATGTTGTTTCTTGCTTTGGTCAAACTAATTAAAGGGAATAGGTTGTATGAAATAGTCAAGAAATTTCCAATAAAAATATGATTTTTGACAAAAAAAGAATGATGGATGTTCTTTCGTTCTTTGTTCTAGATTACTGAATAGCTCATCAATATCTTACAATGCATTTAATAAATCTGTCTCTCATAATAATTATCATCCTTTGATGTCTCACTGAACTGATATTTTGGTGTTCTCTAGGGAAACAATTTGACCTTATTCACTTATTAGATAGAGAAAAAGTCAAAAATAATGGCACTTACTACAAGTGGTTATTTATTGATCTCTTTCTTTCAATATTGTTGTTCTTTTTTTTTCTGAGTTAAACAAAGGCAAAATAAATTCATTCAATAGCAAAACAAAAATAAAATTTTCTTATATTAACGTTTCTAGAGAAACTTTCTTAAAAATATTTAATTACGACATGCACATGAAGTCACAATAATTGATATCAATCCGTGATCAATCTTCACACCAATAAAATCGCCAAAATCTAACATTCGAAAACTAATCTGCTGTTTACAAATGACTGACAACTTGTTTAAGTTGCCTAGAATCCTAGTGAGAGGTCATGACTGGTGGGATTCACCAGGTTGGGTCAGAGGATGACACTGACTTGCGCTGAAAATTACGAACTGACACAAGACAGAATTGATGGGCTATTAGATTCCATCCCAGTAGGTGAATGGTTAACGATGTCGCTTCGTAATCTGTAGGGCCTGGGTTTGATTCCTGTTGGGTTGATGGGCGTGTACAGCTGAACATTCCCAGACTAGGGTGCAATAGCAGTTCAGTACTCCCTGGTTTTCAGTGATTCTGTAAATGATCAGACTTGACACTAATCAAATCCCCACAAACTAACACTTGGTAATCCCAAATGTTTCCAAAGGAAAAGACTTAAATGCTACTATGGGAATGATAGTTAGTTGGCATATTTCATACTTTTGTATACGTTTGAAGGTGATTCAAATCTTTTTTTTTCCTTCACTTTCCCTAGGGGAACATAGGGCTTCAAGCTAGTGGCTTGAAGTTTCTGTAGCAGAGTTTATTTTACAGGATGGGGTTGCCAGCCTCATGCCCAACCTTTCCTCTTCACCAGCATTATTTCTGGCTTAGCGAAGTAAAGGTGTGCGTCGGCCGGGGATCGAACCCCGGACCATGTGCATGGTCGGTGAGCGTCCTAACCGCTATGCCACCGACGCACAATTCAAATCTTACCGTTTAGCAAAACGTTTCGGAACATCAGATAGTGAAGTAATATTATTAGCTGTCACAGGTTAGTGAAATAACGACAAGCTAATCGTGAGTGAAAAGGGTAGTATCACGTTACTTCGGAAGTTGATAATTCTATACTGGATGTGTTCATTTCATAAAGGATGTAGTAACACATAACTTTATTCCAGTTGATGTTTTAGGCTGTGCAGACACTAAATTACTGCTAAGTTGTGTTGAAATTACCATTTATAGTAGTCTTTTTATTCAAATAGGTTCTTAAATGTTCCCGAAAGGATTTCGAAGGATGTAACACGGAATAGCATCCTTCTTGAAAATTCGTTCGTTGATTTATCTTCTTCTCTTCGCCAGCTTAATCATTTAAAAATAGTTTGCTTAGCCTACTGTAACTAGATTACTGTGGGATAATAAAATGTCTGACTATCCATTGGAATAAACCGCTTTTTGTGGACAACACATTGTAAACAGTTATGTTTTTGCCAAGTTTGACTATAGATTGATATCAGTTAGAGAAGTATCGAAAACCAGGGAGTACTGGACGGCTGTTTGTCCCTAGTTTTAGGAATCATCGGCATCCAATGGGGTTCGAACCCAGGACCTCCCGGTTACAAGGCGAGCTAGTATATCATTCAGAAACCGGGACCCGATACAATGACCCATGAATTCTAACTTCTACCAATTCGTGATCAGACTCGTAAAAACAAATCTTATCCTCACTAACCATTTCTTGAAAATATTTTTTCCGCCTAATCTGACAATTTAAAACTGCAGATAAAAATATAAATAAACTGGATTATATCTACTGTTGATTTTATTTGTAGAAGGAATCTGTAAATATATTTTGAATTCGTCACAGTATACTTGTCTCAATTATTCTTTTGAAGTAAGGTTGAAGCCTATTAAAATAAGTAGTAGAAAACGTCTAAACATTCATCCTGAACTGTCAACACTTACGTAAAACTCAGTAGGAGTCAATTATCTGAAATATTTAGAGACTGAAACTATTTAAGGAGAATAAATGATGAAATATCAGACTTCAGGAAAAAAATGATTGTCTTAAACATCAATAAATTATACAAATAAGATAATCATTTCCTTTTTAAAAATGACGACACGAAAAATACACATTAATATCAAAATTATAAAAATATGGAGTCTTATGATTTCCTAATCAATCAAGCGTAAATGGGAAAACTCAAAAGAATAACTCAACCCTGTCGAAAACATAACGGATGAGATCTAATAATCAACCCGTTAAAAAGATGAAACCTCTATTAATTATAGCTTCCTGTCTATTGATTTATCTCTGTGACAAATCAAACAGTATTATAGAAAGACTTCATGAAAATGATACCTACGCTTGAGACAGTGTATTTAGGCAAAGAACCTTCAATAACAATAACCTACAATAACAAGAAATTGGTTGAGCAAGGGAATGTAATGATCTGATTTAAGCACAGTGTCAGTCATCCACTTGTAGACACCATATGTATACGTGTAAGAAGAACATAAATAAAATATATAGTAGTCAGATTGACATGCAGTGAATAATGAAGGTTAGTTATGTGTAATTTCAGGTAGTTAGAAATACGTTTTGATTCATCATTTTGTGAAAATTAATCATTTTCGAGTTTCAATGCTCTTAAGTTGACACAGTTCAGTCGGCACTTTGTCGTACTTTAAGTTATGAATAAATATTCGTACATTAATTAGTTTTTTATATTATTTCTGTTAATTTATGTTTTTGTAACGATCAGGTTGATTTACCGATGTAGGGTTGCAACCTTCTCTATTTTCCTTTGCGGGTAAAATTTATTTTGATAAAGTCTCACAGTGTTATACAGTAATATTTACTGATGACGTTTCGAGCACAATTTATTGCTCATAATCATATCAAGGTACTCATACAACTTTCTAACTTCGTTTATATAATTCCATTATTTTCCATCGCTTGACCTGATTGGTAGTAGTATTTTCCATATTTCCGGTATGAGTGATGAGTCATTCCTATTGCACATGTTGGGTGTAGACTCGACGAACAAGGATTCAGTAATCAATCTCTCTCTCCACCTACCTATATTACTTTTTAGAATTTTGACTCTGTCCCACCCTATTGTATGGTTGTGTGTTAATGCATGCAGTGCGATTGCTGAGTTTTTCTCTAAATTACTTATCTTCGTGGGATCAACCATTCTTACCTTAGCTGAATTCTTATGTTCTGATAATCTCACTACTCCTGATCTACCAGTTTGACCTATGTAGTTGACCACACTCACAGTCATTGCAAGTTATTTTGTAAATTATATTATTTTGCTTAATTGGGTCCACCGGGTCCTTTAGCCTACAGAGCTTGTCTCTGAGTGAGTTTGTAGGTTTGAATGCCACCCTAATTCTGGCTTTATTGAGAATCCTACGTAGGGCCTCAGATGTCCCCTCCTTGTATGGTAGAACTGTAGATGCTTTATATTCTCTCTTATTTATGTTATCATTATTAGTTTCCCCATTATTTTCATTTTGCTTCTGACCCTGTCTGATCTTCCTAATGAATTTGATAGGATAGTTATTTGATACCAAATCTTCTTCCATCTGTTCCATTTCATCCTTCAGGTTTTTTGTTGTACTACTTAGTGCTACTGCTTGGTTTGTTAGACACTTAACTGAGCCTGTCATCTCTATTTTCTCAGGCTTAGGACCACCTAGTACACTAGTAAACTAGACGGGCGCGATGGAATAGATCATGTAACAGGTGGTGGGAAGCAAAAAGGCGGGTGCGCGTTTGCCTGGGAAAAGATTCAAGAAGATATGGACTTTGCGGATTATCGATATCTAATACCACGAAAAATTGATGACCTACAGTCAGAAACCAACAATTTTGTAGAAGAGGTAGGTACAGAAGGCAGGACATCGGGTGAATATGGAGAAGACAGAGTTGACAAAGATACTTAACCAACAAAAACAAACATCAACCACCATCAACATCAGAAATTTTGAAGGTATCACGTGACAGATCTTTGGATGGAACCGCACTACGGAAAGACAATTTGGATGTTGATCTGACAGTGACACAGAGAAGATCATGTGAAAATGAAGAAGTCATGGCGTATAGGCAACCATGGCAACAGCTTGAAATGACAGCACAGAACAAAGTGGAATGGTGACGTGTTATAGAAACCATATTTTCCATTCAGAACCCAAGGGAATAATAATAATCTAAATAAATGTTTTCGTTGCACTCAAAGACACAACAAATCTAATTAGTTCACTCTTGTTCAATTTTCCTTAATTGTTTAATAACCTGGAATGACATTCTGATGCGACAAGTTCTACTTAATGAGTGTATGGTTTACACTTATGCTTCAATCTAATCGTCAAAAAATATTTGGAAATGTATCTCTTAAAGCTAGTTAAAACAGCTTTGATGAATTTATGCGAAATGAAGTTCTGTTGACCAGATAAATAGAAAAATTTACTAAGAGATTGCTCTAGGTAGTGCATGGAACATCAATGTGGATGCTATAAGCCATGTTTGGCTCAAATATTAGAGAAAATTAATTATTCCACCATATCAAGAATGAAGAATGAACGGCCTTTTGCATTAATTGCAATTAGTAAAGTGGTTTTCCTATCTAACTACTTGTACGGTGCGATTTGGTATCCTTCATATTTTCAGCGAAGAATAAGGGCAAACACTGAAAAACATTTCATATTAGTTTGTTTATTAGATATATCACACAGTGAAACAGTATTATTTACTGGATGACGTTTCGAACAATATTTATTGTTCATAATCATATCAATTGTAATCACACGACTTTGACACTTGAGTTTTATAATAATAATGATAAATAATGAAAGTAGCGATAGTGATAATAACAATAATAATGATAATAATAATAGTGGTAATAATAATATTAATGACGACACCAATAATAAGGAATCTAAATCATCAGTAGTAATTACATACAAGGAAGGAACCTCAGAAGCCTTACGCAGAATTCTTAGCAAGGCAGGAATAAAAATGGCATTCAAACCCACAAACTCAATTAGAAACAAGCTTTGTCGGTTAAAGGATCCTGTAGAGCCTTTAAAACAAAACAATTTAGTTTATCTAATATCCTGCAATGATTGTCAGGTCAAATATATAGGTCAAACTAGTAGAACAGGGGCAGTCAGACTAGCTGAACATAAAAACCTAGCTAAATCTCGATTGGTGACCGAATAAGATAAGAATCTGGAGAATAGTTCACCCATAGATAGCACTACATGCAATTACACACAACCATAGGATGATGGATAAGATGACAGTTTCAATCTAATGTCAAGGAGAGGGAGAGATTGATAACAGAAGCTTTGTTTATCGAATCAGCTACAAATACATGTAATAGGAATGATTCATCACCTGTCCCCGATATCTGGAAAATTCTACTACCCATACGACAAGTAGGAGAGAACAAAGGAAACTATAAAACTCAAGTGTCAAAGTCGTGTGATTACAATTGATATGATTATGAACAGTGAATTTTGTTCGAAACGTCATCCAGTAAATAATAACACTGTGTGATACATCTAATAAACAAACTAATATGGAATTACTTACTACCACAGTGCCCAAGTTTTAAACATATATCAACTGAAAAACATTCTCCATGTTAGCTTTTTATTTTGAGAAATCCGAAGTGATAAAGTGTCATTTTCTAGATGACGTTTAGAGTAGAATTTATACATAAAATAATGTCGAAGCGATTGAGCAGCCTTGATTCCAGATGTAAAATAAAACTGGAGAGTAAAATATGGTTCTATGCTTTAATTACTGCTTGATTGTGAGATTTCTGGTCAGAACTACTAATAATCAGTTGATAAAACACGAAGATTAAATGGAATACTGAGGGGTATTTATAATAAAAGAACTATAAAAACACGATATGTTTAAAGGAGGAAGTGTATTTAATTAAAAAAAATCTAAGGCATTACATATTACATTTTAAAGTAAAAAGTATGAGGATAATAGTTAACATGAATACGTTAAAGAAGTTACAAATACTTACTAGGAAGTCCTAAAATTAATTTTGGTGCTAAGAACTTGCATTCTCTCTGTTACTCTAACAACTTCCAATCAACTTATGAATAAAAGGGTACTCAGGTAAACAGCCCTTCTATTACTGTATCACAAACCAGACCAGAGGGATCCAAGTGGTATTAAAGGATGAATAAAACAACATTAATTGGTCTCCATCAGATCTGTCGGTCTTGTTAATTTTCTAGCTTTTAATTATTAAGAATTAACTACTGATAATGTATGAATTTACATAAATTATCCTAAGTCAAACAGATAGGGTAGGACATTTGTCAAAACATATTGTAACACATTATATCCTTACAAAGTTAGATAAACTTATTTTGTTTCTCTCGAACAAAACGCTGATTCGATCCTTGAATAGATAAGTCTTCAAGTAACATTAAGATTTTTCTAAATCTCTTTAAAAATAATGATGTGTTCTACGTGTAGGAATGCACGATTGTGGTACATACACACTGATATTGGAAGAAAACTTATTAGGTCTAAAACTCAATATATTTCTCTTTTTTTAAGAGTTTATTTGTAGGGATTTGATTGGTTTCAAGTATGATCACTGACTGATATCAGTTAGAGAACCGTTGAAAATCAGGGAAGGCTGTTTCGTACTAGTTTTGGGCTCTTCATCAGTACACATCTACCGAGTTTCGGACCCGGGACCTCCCGGTTGCAAGGCAAGCGTGAAGACTATTTAGCCACTGGGACTTGGCTCAGTGGCCCATGAATTCTATTTTCTACTTATTCGTAAATTTAGTGTGACCACTAGTCTGTGTCATCGGCGAGTATTTGTCCTCACTCTCAAGCAGGGGGATCCATTAGAAAAATATGCGAATCTGAAAGATAACTTATCTTGGTTGTAAATTCAAAAATTATCCGCATGAATCCAACCTAGTAATATAATTTATATTAACCACTTAATATAACATTCGTAGTGATTTGTCAGAACAGACCGCAGTTACCAAAAATTTCTTAAAGATTGTAATCTTCTGAATCAGTTTGTCGATAATGGAAAGGGAAAAGAGTAGGGAATAGCAAGTTTTAAATGTATGGAAGAAGAAGAGTGTGGGGTTGCTAGTAGTTTACGAAGTATGGTGAAAAGTGATACTAAATAATGCTAGATGAAGATTATTGCATATTTCCTGGGCCTAAACATGAGATTTTGATGCCTACTCACCAGCCTTAAAGATAATGTTCGCGCCAACCTTATTCTGAGTTAAGAATACTTTTGACATTTTCTGATTTTAAATGTATGCTACATACTGTTAGTAAACTGTACTATATATATGTCTCAATATTTGTATGACAGATCGCGTTCAACCAGTGAAGCCGGTGCACGAACCATTGAAAACTTCAGAGAAATTCTCTAACAAATCTGTTTACACTCATGAATATACGCCTAAACCAATTGTACTGGACAACAGTAATACAAAATATCGGAAAATCTGTCTCCCTCTG